TGATAATGACGACCCGGGTATACAGGACTCACGATGATAATTGGTTCTTTACCCTTCTATCTGGCAACAAAACTGACACCTTTTTGCAAGGAGTCATGTTTGCATAGACCGCAATACCTGCAGTCATAATACAAACAAAAGAACATAACTCTGATAATGTGCACTGTCCTTGAAGTTGATTGGTCCACAACCGAGACAGCTTTCCTTCGAGCCTAGTCTCATATGGGTTGGACCAGATGACGCCAAAAGGCGCACAACTCAAGGACAATGCACCATCAGAGTATGAGAGCTCGGGGCAAGCATCTACACTAACTTGCCCCGAGCTCTCATACTCTGATGGTGCATTGTCCTTGAGTTGTGCGCCTTTTGGCGTCATCTGGTCCAACCCATATGAGACTAGGCTCGAAGGAAAGCTGTCTCGGGTGTGGACCAATCAACTTCAAGGACAGTGCACATTATCAGAGTTATGTTCTTTTGTTTGTATTATGACTGCAGGTATTGCGGTCTATGCAAACATGACTCCTTGCAAAAAGGTGTCAGTTTTGTTGCCAGATAGAAGGGTAAAGAACCAATTATCATATTTTTACTGGCAAATGAGGTCCCCATAGTGAGGACTCACGATGTTTTGTTTTTCAAAATTCATTGTATTACGTGCTTTTTGTAACTTTGCCAACATTTTCCTTCATCCAACTTTGCAGCCTTTCTCTGTGAAGTTCTTTAATAATTATTAGCAATTCATGGGAATTTTATTGTATTGTGCTTTTTTCATCAGCACCTAGAGCTCACACCTCTTTCGGCCTGGTCCGGTCCTTCACGTTGGTCGTCCAGGTTAGCATTGGTCTGCCTCGTCCCCTCTGTACTTGCACTCTGTCACCCAGCACTGGCTTTGCCAGTCTGTGCACTCTGCCACTCAGCACTGTGCTTGCCAGTCTGTAATGAAACATTACATCACCAGCCCACTGCTGTTTCCTTCTTTAGACACAAATTCTTAATTAACTTCAGAGTAAGATCTCCACTCCTGGACTCCCACGTGGTGAGACAAAGGCTGCTTCGCTGAACTGAATCTACACACTAAAGTTTTCAATGTGATGTCAGTCATGAGTGATGCAATTACATTAAAGTATCCCACTCCCAATGATTTAATGTGGAAATAATTTATACCTCATTTCACATGCAGTATTACAACTTTATTACGGCGTTATAAATTCCGAATAATTAGTTAATGCTCTTAAAGTTTATGCGTTCGACTTTAAATGGACTTGTGTATTACAACGTCAAGTGATAAATTTTAACATTACGGCCTCCGCATAATGGTGCGCCGTTCCAACTGCTGTACATCGTACGGCAAATGCGGCCACATCCCCCACCGATGGACAGGTAAAGATAGGCCACACTGGGACGGCGCTTACCCGTGCTGAACTATGGACGACAACGTGACGCCACGGCCCACTTCCAACGTGACACCTGTGGGTGTCTATGTGAGGCGATTGGTCTCTATGTAAGTACTACGAATCTCCGCGTGAGTCTGCATCGATCATTCGCCCGCAGTGCCTCAGATGTTCGCCGTGGGGTTCTCCCGAAGCCGTCCACTGGATCGATCACCAACTGCGGCGGTGCGAGCTCACGCGCATCGCTGATCTATGCCCCGACCACGGGGAAGAAGCAGAAAGAGTCCCGACTGGTTGACACGGAGGGAAGCTCCCGTTACGCATTTATGACCGTTCTTGCTAGAAGCCCTGTTTTGGAGATCACTGTTGGTCACACTTTAACACGGCTCAGAAAACACATTGTACTTCCTGAGTTGAGGACAATGGGACACAGAGAGTAGCTGTCAAAATTCACACGGAAAGAGATATTGCCTTTAACCTCTCTATAATTTAATTTTTTGTATTGGTTATTGTTTTTAAAAGTATCTGCCCTAATGCACTTTGCCACGCAGGGCCACAGCATAGCACCATGTCACATTTTACAATAGAATTAAAATAACGCTAAAGTTAAAATAACTAATGTCTTTTTCATTGTAAAAGCATTCTATAGTGTATCGCTAAGAAATCACAGCTATTCTGGTCTCAATCTCAACACAAAATAAGAACCTCAGTGGTCTACAACTTGGGCAAGCACAGTCAGCTTCAAATTAAACTGGATAAACGACGGATATGTGATAAACGAATCTGATAGGGACAATCCTGCAGGGAGACGCTGCTGACTCCCCCCATCGTATCGCCCAGTAAATATCTTTTATCTGCCACGCGCAGAACCCTCTTTGTGCAACGAGGGGAAAAAAAAGTACGTTTCATGCCATCGCGATTGTGGCTTTTGTGTCATTATTTCTGAGTATCATTGAACTGAGCGAAAATACTCTTTTAGAACTGCTTTTTGTCATCACCATCATCATCATCACCACAAGTGACTGTTTTTAAACACGAGGAAGCTTCCACGATCTCCGCGACGGCACGGGACATCAACAAACCTAAAGGTGAAAGAGAGTGCAGAGTCTGAGAGCTGAGCACGAGGCCCTCCCTGAACAGGATGTGAATCACCCAACAGGACACAATGGAGACAAGACAATAGGGGCTGGCCGGGTGGGATCCCAAGTCAGCTGAACGGGTTGTGGTCAGAGCCAGATAAAACCCGTTTCTCTGCTCCCCCGGCCTCTCACCGTCCTCCCGTCCTCTCCCTCGGCCCTCCAGGAAGGGACCGCCCCTTGTCGGCGGACGGCGTCCTCATTTCCCACGGCACAGAGAAGGTCCGACACGACACGCATTGTCGTTATCACGTGTGACGGGTTGAAAAACACGCGGACGCTTCCACGGTCTACCATGTGCGTGCGGCCCGCTGCACCAACAATGCGAAGGTGACAAGAGACTCGGGAGGGCTGAGCACGGGGCACTGCCATCCCAATTCATCAGTGGGGAAGGAGGAACAAAATATAATATTGAGTTGGATGGCGCAAAAACCCACGAGCTTGGAACCACGAGATCTACGGGTTCGTAGAGAGAAAATCCTTCTCGCCAGCTTCATGCTGATTATTCTTGCACAGCCAGCGGAATAATCATAATTGTAATAATAGATTGTCTCATCTCATCATGCTAATTGAGGCACTGTCTGATGGAACTTCAGTGGAATTGGTTCATCCCATTCCTATTGTTTCTGCAGTTTTCGATACAATCATCATCAGCCACTTTCTATCTACCTCTGGATGAAGGCCTCCCCACACTGTCACCATCCCTCACGGCCCAGTGCTCTTTCCGTTCATCTCACTCCTGCACGTGAACCGAGCTCACCGCTCCATCTCCACGGTGGCTGTCCTCCTGGACTCACTGTTTCCCTTGGCCACCACCGCATCTCCGCTCTGGCACACCGGCCCATCATCGCAACTTGCCAAGTCCCATTTTTCTCTGCTTAATTTTCAATACGACGCCTCGGATCCGTGTTTCCGTGTCCGTCTCTCGGTGTAATTTCCCGGCATGCGCCTCCTCACCACCCTTCTTTGTGTATTTCTAGATTTGAAGCTTTCGTGACTGCAAGGTAAAGTCACCTGAAGACGGAGGCTTGTGTTGCCTCCGAAACATCGTGATTTAATGTATTTGTTTTCTTTTTTGACCTACGTGACTTCTTTGTGTACTTTTCAGGTTTTGTCCCATTTTCTGTGTCAGTGGTCAAGGCCTCTGATCCACGTCATGGCTGGTAGTGTGCACTGGTGGAAAACTGTCTCTCTCTCTCAGAGCCATCGGTCCGCTATTATTCACGATCAAGTTCTACTTTCCGAAGGTGCCTCTCACTCCGTGTTGCTCTTGCTCTCCTCTGTACTGTGTCGGCTGATCCCATTCACACTGATGAAACTTTGAAGGATTTGTTGCAGCAACTGCCCTCAGGCACGCGCATTCTGTGGTGTTTTAAGCCGTGTCCCTTCAAATGTAATTTTATTTTGTTTAGCAAAAAACAAAACTCATCCATTCGCTTTTGTTTTACTCACACTCTATTCTGAAGTCCCAAAATGTTTTGTAACTTAAAAGGAACTTTTTTCAGTGGGGCAATTTCGGGCCATGTCCAAAGGCACAATGTCACAGACCATTTAAACTTCCACCGAAAGCAGACCCAACGGTTTGACAACCATTTCCCCTTTTGTGTTTTGTTTACTAGGCCAGGGGATTTTCACAACGTCACCAAAAAACACCTCTCAAACCATTCGCAAGGTGAGTGTTTCCATTCATAGTTTGACTCGGTTAGGTCAAATATATATAAGGACATTTTGTTCATGAACACACTGGCAACATTACACAATTTCCTCCTGGTCCTGACATACGACAGATAGCTCTATTGTTAGTGGCAGCACACGGAGCCGCCCGTTCTATGTCCACTCTACATAGCCGCGATCCTGCTCGTCTGACAATGTCCCCTCACACACACGCATGCCATTGTCCGATGGCTGAAGTTGGATCCCAGCCAACGAACTCTGAAACCAGAGGCAAGTGGCCTGACCACTGGGCTACGCAGCCACCGCAAATGCGACCACGAAGATCACTTTAAACATAACAACAGTTGAGAGTTGTCAGGATCTGTCACTCCCAATCAACCTTAACCACGGCCTGCGGTGTCACAACTCCACCCATAACTGAGGCATGGATTATTGCACCATGTTCAATGTTACACGAGTCGTGGAAGCCACTGACGCAATTGAGCACTGCGTTCATCACAAGCACTCACGCACGTGCGTTATGCTAAACGTGTGCGTGTGTGCGTAGTAATGATCGCGTGTGCGTGCATGTCTGTGGGGTTTTAGCTGCAGTGTAAATGGTTAAGGTGGCCTAATCAATAACACGGCCTAACGTTCAACTCTCATGAGCTGGTGGTCAAGATAAGGCTGAGGAGTACTGTAACATGCAATGTGGTGGTCACATGACACGCATTCAAGGGACGCATGTCATGTGTGTATCGGCACGGTGTCGTGGTGCTGTATCGGCACGGTGTCCCGTGACACTTTGTGCTGGGCTCCGTACCAGTTGTTGACCTGCAGGATGGTAAGCCCCGTGTCCTGCGCCAGCTGCTTCTTCTGCTCTTCTGAAGGGTATGGGTGCTGTGGAGAGAGGAGGCGCACGGTCGGGTTCAGTGAGGTTAGGCGCTTGCGCGAGCCCTGGCCCAATACCTCCACACGTCGTGTGCACGTTCACGCGGCGATGGCGAACTCAAGTCAAGGAGATTTTCTGCTCAAGGGAGCTCATCTCCTGCTTAGAGTCCCGCGCCAGTGGTGGAAATTCTCTATTGCTTTGGCGGGGGGTGAGGCTATCCGTAGCGTAACCAGGCTGATTTGACGGGAGTACTTAATACTGCGAAATACCCAAGGTTAATAGGACAACGCATCCATGAATCTAATCAGGACGAGGGGTCGTTGTCATCGGAACCAATTGGTCTCTAGTCACTGGGTAATTGCTATGAACTGCAGCGCCACAGTGGCGAGATGTTAACTACCTCGCCTGGTACACAGGATGTTGTGGGCTCGATCCCGACCCTGACTCCTGTATGTTTGAAGTTTGCATGTCTCTCTCTCCCTGTGCTCGCGTGGATTTTTTTCCGGGACCTCCGGGTTTTTGCATTCACATTTAGAAAATGCTTTTTAGAGTATTTGACTGCTTTACATTTCCACATGGTAAGCCACTTCGTTGAGCTCTCATTTGTGTGCCAGGTCACTTCTCAAAAAATAGCTACATAGCTCAATGGGCCTTACCTGCTGGAATAAAATAAATAGTTTATAATTGTAATTGTTCGTCAGATATTCATTAAGGAAGCTTGAAGGAACAATCACTCGGTATGTTTGTAATGCAACGATACACCCCCCCCACTCCCCCTCTCCCCCACCGGGTGTTCAATGAACTGTCACGATTAGCACGAGTTGGCTACGTACGGTGCGAAAAGAAGTTCAACATCATACCTACACGTACAACCGTCAAGATTAGGAGGATCGAATCGATCTTTCGTGTCTAGTTTATTCTCTCTCGTGTGTGCTGTCTGCCTAAAGACGAATTGTACATTCATCAATTTGGCAAAGACACCGCCTCCGATATTTGAATATCCTTTTTCGCGTCTATCAGTCCAATTTCCAGCATGCGCCTCTCCACGCTTCGTTGTGACACTTTTCAGTTTTTGTTCCATTTTCTATCACGAGAGTCCTTGCGTCCTACCCTAAGTGTCATCAAGGGCAGGCTGCGTGCTCCGCCTTGCGTGTTCGATCGTGTTCATTACATCAGCGTAAGTGCGCACGAGTGTATAACTGGCGAACGATTTTGCATCGTCGATCAACAATGATCAATTATTGCATTGCATGATTCGATGCAATAATGCGGGCGCGGGGAACCTTTCAACCAATGACACGAGGGATAGTTATCTACGTGTCTAATCATTACCGTCAATGTAATAATTGTCACTCTCAGTTTGAGAGATCACAGTCAATATAAAGCAGGAATATTAATCAGCAGCACCGTGAACATTGCTGGCATCAGCGACATCATGACTATAAGTCGTTGTCATCACCATTATCACTGTCACTGCAATCATAATCATCACTCTACAATGAACGGCTGTGTAACGATTATCCCTCGTTGACTTAATTGAATGAATTGTCCAAATTTGGGGTGTCAATTAAATTTAAGTGATCGATTCTTTCCTTTCCTTTGTGGTCCTGCAGGGTTCACGTGAAAGCATTACACACAATGTGCACACATTGAAAATAACACATCCTCACACATATGGTCCAACGTGTGTGTGCATAGTGATCTTAGGGAGTGGTATTGCAGTGGTTAACATGCTGCGCTACGAACTCGGCGACCCGAGTTCGATTCCTGCTCACGGGCAACATTGGTGATGATTATCTGAATCGATCCTGGGCCTCCCCTAGGTCGACTCAGCCTCAAATGAGTACCTGGTGCGGTGTACAAACATCGCTACTAGGAAGACAAAGGCGGCCTGGCGTGGTGTTGACCACCCATCCCCTCGTGTGCCGTAACGGCCGGCCTTCATAGGTGCTCGCTAACTACACTTGCCCCAACAGTCTGTGAAGGCTTTATGGGGGATCTGCATTAATGTCTATAGTGAGCGTGGGATTTTGTTGTAATCAATGAATCAATGCAATATTTACATGCCCTATAAATACAACCGTAATCATAATGAGCAAAACCAGTTATCAATATTAATACACGCTCACCAGCATTACTATCATTAGCATCGCACAATCGTCACCACTGGAATCATGTCCATCGTCATCATCATTATAATCGTCGTCGTCGTCATGCTCTGGATGGTGGAAGAAGAAGGTTCATGTCAGGATCTGTGTTCGTGCTCAAACTCGGTCAGGACCCCTGGGCTTGACGCACATCACGTGGGCAGTATGGGAAATAATAAGCGACACTGACGCGCACGCACACGCGAACACCTACACTCAAATCCCTTCCGCTGCTTAATTACAAAATGAACCAAAGCTAAATTAACATCATTTCCCATTGCTACATCAGCGAATATTAATGTGTGCCAAAATTATGCAGCAATGAAAATGATGAGTTCTGCTTTTTGATGTTTCCCAAGTCTGTGAGATAATATCGGTTTGACTCCATTGCGATGTTTATACCTCCACGGGGGTTTATCGTACCTTGTGAAAAAACATCGACACTTACAGCACCGACGTTATCCGAGTAATAACAAGGCGCTGAGGATGTTAAGGCATGAGCAGAGCAGAGCAAACACACCGCAGGAGCGAGGTGGACTGTGGCATTGCAGAACCCTGCCAGATAGCAATAGCACACGGAGGCCTTCATCCAACAGTGGATAGACAATGGCTGATGATTATAAGAATAAGAATATATTTGGCTTGGAACACGCCATACAGAGAATGACTCGGAAGCGTGAGGAACTACAGACAGGCGGGAGCCAGCACCAAATTTACCCCAATGCTCTGTGGTCCTCTATATATTAAGATGCTATTGGCCAATGAATACTTCAGGAGATTCACGATTCATTTTTACGAACCTCTTATTTTGTATATACATTGACATTTTCCCCATATGCAACTGTACCTGGTGAATTTCCGAATTCTTTTTTTATAATAATTCCAAAGTATAATGCGCATTCCATCATATTATCCCAACGCGCAATGCATGAAAAGCAGGAAACAAAAACAGAACCTAGGGCAATCGACCAAACTAGAGAGGGAATGCCACTTTAAAGAGACTTAAATATTTCTATCTACTCCGATTGCCTGACCTCATGTGGCAAGGCGTTCCATAGTATGGGTGCCACGCTAACAAAAGCCCGATCACCAAAAGAGTGCAACCTAGACCATATTTGTCAAACCTGTGACGGAGTAGCACTTGCCATGAGATCGAATGATTGAATGGATTACGGTGACACCTCCTGCCCCCACCCCCCATCCCCACCTTCCATTACAAGTTTACAAGTTCGATAGCTGTTGGTGTAGATACTTGAACACGGATCATTCAATTCTATTGAGGGGGTTTATTTACCCTCTCCCATTCCGATGACCAACGTGTATGTCATCGGTTTTTCTTCCGATTCTGTTCTGATGACGTACGCATACGTAATTGGAATGGAACCCTAAGAAAAACTAAACTAAAATAACTGTATTGGTACCGAGGCTCCCACAAGGCCATGCGGCAGGGCGTGTGGCACAGCTTGGCACCAGCTATCATAGAGTGCAGTCGTGTCGCTACAGTTCTCTGTTGAGTACAATGTCTATAAAAACAACGGTGCTACTACGCCTCTCTAAATGAGGTTACACGCTGAGCCACTTGCGTGCTCCGAGGTTCAGTGGTGAAGGGACACCACCCACCCTGTATCGTGCAGACGTCTCGGAACAGGAAAGGGTTTAATATCAGAAGACAGGAAGAGTAGACACATAATTGGCCGGGCTCAGAGATATAAATAGAAAGGGGCAAAGGTGAAGAGAGGGTGATGCTAATACAGATACAGACCAAGGTACAACCGCGATAACGGCATTTGACCTTAATCTCTGTGTCAAACAGAGGACAGCTAACGGCACATTATCACTCATGGCTTCACACTAAAATGCCGGGGTGTTGGAATCCTCTTTGCGCGGCATGTGTGCCACCTCGCCCACTTTTATGATGCGGCCTCCATCCTCCCGCCACGATGGCCTCTGGGCACCGCAGAGCGCCGACGTCACGATCACAACGCCCAATCAGGGGGCTCCCGATCGTCGGTTAGAAGAACTTTAGCGACCTCGGGCAGCGCTGCTAAAAACGGTGGCCCCTACAAGGGGATGGAGGCAGCTTCGGTGGAAACGAGCGAGAGACTCGCTCCGAGATTTGTACGTAGAGATTCACCAGATATTTGCCCGCACATGTGCATCGTGCCCAACGCGTTAAGGCAACAATCGGTCACGTGGCTGTGATGACAGGCACGAACATGTCCAGGTCCCCTCTTCACCAACCCACGCTGTCCGGCATAGTGAAGTGTTGTCAAACAACCCCTCACAACCGACACGACACGGGAAGGCATTCATCCGGTCGCACACGGGTCGGCAAACTGCGGCTCCTGAGCCGCATGTGGCCCCTTAAGCACTACTTGGTGATGTTATGTATTCACGTGCATTGCGGCTCTTAAAATATTACGTTTTTTTACCGAATTCGAAAAAAATGCCTCTCCTTGATATTTTTGGTTTCTGTTCCCTGCAATAGCAGATTTTAAAAAGAGCTATATGTTATTGTTGTTTATTAATACACGCCGTAGGAACGTCCGAGTAGATGGTTCGTCAACGTTCGTTCCACAGTGCTCAGTCAGAGTCCTGCTGCTTGAACACTGCTGCTGGGACCGCACGCTCGGCTGGAAGAGGCCCTCCAAGACCCTGACCTTTCACGATGCCCACCTCTGTGATTTAATTTGTTCAATAATAATAACAGCACACATGTATCTGGTTTTTTTCCGGCAAGCCATAGCAAACACGTTAAAAAAAAAACCTCCATATTTTTATATTAGATGCACTGTAGCCAATTAATGACATCAAATTAAAATCACATAATGACTATGATCTCATTACCAAGTCCGTGTCTT